CTTTTTTTTTATTATTAACGTGTATTACAAATTATTTGATGTTACATCATAATCATGACGTTTTCAGCTCATCTTACAATACTTCAAGATATCTAATTACCTAGTGTCAAATTGACAACTTCAAACTAATGAATGCGACATATCACTGATTAGATTTGGACTGGTACATTTAATCGGAGTAAGGTAGAAAACATTATGTTGATTGTTGGGGTATTCAAGAAGAGGAATTACATGAGGAGATATACTCAAAATTACCTATTCCTAAAATATTTTATCAAACTGACAAAATTAAATTAACAGTAGACATTTTATATTATTTCTTTAGGTACATTTTTGTTGTCATTATTTACCTAGTGAAATAACTGCTACTTCTCAATGAGACAATGCGGTCAATAATGGTGATGTCTCGGGTTTGTAGTGAAAAAAAGGTTATTTTTGTACCATCTGGCAGAAGTGTAACCTCCATCGTATTCTACAGACAGAGCCATGCAAAATTAAACATGTCACACCATAACTCATTACGTTACTGGTTTTGAGCAATATTTTTCACTCTTACCTGAAATATCTTATTTCACAAAATTATCTACCTCAGGTAGGTAGTAATATATTTATTTTCAGTGAAAGTAATTGCTGTGATACATCAAATTTGGTTCATGGTTCAAGCAGTAAGACTTGTTTCCATTGGCCGAGGTCTTGAACATTTCTTTCAGAATGGTCCGATTTGCTCCCTTGCAAATTTTGTTCCTGGGGTCAAATGAAATTAACTAACTAGTCCAGGTGATTTATCCAAAATTTCTTGATCTAATATGGGTATGGAATCCCTTCCTTATACAAAGTTTATAATTTTTCGTTAGTTTTAGAACTAGTATTAGAATTAATCAAGTATGCTCATTAGATCCATTACTTCAAGAACGTTTTCTGATCGGTCAATTGTGACCCACGGAAAGATTTAGATCTGTGAACCAGGTGTTGAATTTCTGATTGGTCGAATTTGATCCGAGGATTATTGATAAAATAGGACTTTAGACACACAATCTGGCATCATTGATCGTTTTTGACTTGACCGTACTGCATTAAGAAACTGGAGGAGAGTATTGTGGAGCTCGTTCATTCAGCACCCGCGGTAGTTTCTGCTTCGGTTATCGAAACCAATAATATTTTCTTCACAGTTAGGAAAAGGTATACATCTTTAATTTGATAAAAATATACATACATAAAATATACAATATATCATCAATGTTTTCAATAGACATGTACAAAAAGTAACACGCAAAATCACATTACATTGGATTTTTTAACTTTTATATATAAAAATTTTACATTTAGAGTTTCAGGCAGTTAAGCAGTAGATGCTTTAAGACTCATAAACGTCAGCAACAAAACCTTCGAACACAACACAATATTCTTGATTCGCCGCGAACTGTCAGGAAGAGTTTGGAACATGCGTATTCTGTAGTTCACGAGGCCTTAAAGCACCTCTATCCTGATTTGCTGGCAAGCAGAAGCTAGTTCGTATCTTTCACAGTTTCAGGAAATATTATTATAAATTCTTTTAAAACATCTGTTCTTTGATAGATGCTGCTTCAAATTGGAATTATGTTTGAATCGTTTGCCACATTTTGTACAGGTGAACATGGGTTCCACCCCACATTCGTACCTCCGGTGACGAAGAAGGGTCTTCTGGTGCTTGTACCTTGAGCCGCAATTGTCACAAAAGTAATCCAACCCTGAAATAATGCTCTGCATGTCAACACATTCATTAAAAATTGTTAATAATACATTCTATTTTCTGCTAGAAGATTTGTGTCTTGGGAGAATTTTGCTATCGACGCAGATTACACATATTTGTTCCAAGCAATGGCCGGACATTGACGTGGATGTTCATTGCGGGCCGGCAATGTTGTTCCCCAGTTCATCCTCTTTGCCCGAACATTCGCGTTAATGGTCAAGAGTGGTTATATGATTCCAGACTTATCCATGGGCTTGATTCTAAATGAGTTTCGACCGTTGAAATTGATTTCAATTGGCGCCTTGTGACGATATACGTGATTATGATAATTTTGACTCCGCCATGATAATTTGAATATAGAAGATAAATATAATCAGATGTCAAAATTATCATAGCGAATCAAGTATATCGTCACAAGGCCATGTAAATCAATTTCAACTGTCGAAACTCATTTAGAATCAAGCCCCATTTCTTCAACGGTATGGAGTAATCATAGCACAAATATTACTTAAGTCTTTCCATGAAAAAGTTTTACAAGGTATTGAAATTTTGGGGTTAGCTCATGAGGACTAGAGATAGGAGGATAAACGCAAGGAGTGGGGGTTAAGCCAAAAATGTCGACGATGAAGCGAAATGGTACAGTGCCCCGCAAATTAATTTCAGGTGCTGTGCATAAGGCATCTCTCTAGAGTGTACACTGCGTAGAAAATGGATATTATGTTTTGGGCACGTGACACCTTTCTCTCTCTCTCCCTCTCTCTCTCTCTGCGGCTATCATCATGACTGTAAACAACTCGAATTTTGATAATTCGGATGAGTTGCATGGATAAATATTGGATAGTATTAATAAAACATGAAGTAGTAAACCTACAAAGCATGGTGGAACGTGAGTGAAATGCACAGAAAGATTGCTCTACGGCATGTTCTGCGCTCACTATATTTCATCATCCTTGGCGACAGGATCAGCTTCACATGAATACGTGTATCCTTTTCGTAGTTTAACCTCCTATCTCCAGTCTTCAAGGGTTAGCTCTACGAGAAATAGAAACATGAGTAACCTGTAATGATTGTCAGTTGTCAGAACTGTCAATTTACCAAGGATCACTGTAGGGTTCATAAAAACTCTATTCTACTTTATTTTTTCAACCATCGCTGTCAAAAATTTCAGACTGAACAGCATAAAAATTCGTTATTTTTAGTGCATTAAAAACTAATGATAACAACAACACGCTGGAATTACTCTCTTAACATCATTGCTGGGTATTCACGTTATTAATCACCCATTAACGTCAATACCCAGAATATTAGGATCGAATAACTTTTCGAATGAAAGATCTCGGTGAAAATACGCACGTTAAACTTAAACACCTTTCTGTTTGCAAGGGTTAAACAAGATCACCATTGATCGTATCTGTCACATTACCTTTATACTTCGGCATTCGACTTATTTGCATATACATGGTGATTCAGAAAACGTAGCAATGTTTCTAGTGCTGAAAGTGGACCAAAAGAAGAAATGTGCATGTAAACATGGCTATAGTTGTAGTCACTGTTCTTGTCGGGTCAAAGTAAGACTACCAGTATCCCTTTATGTATCTCCATCTGCCTCATACCCCTGTATGTGAACGTTTGTTCAGTAAGCTCAAAGACATACGTTTTTTAGTTGTGTGTCTCTGTCTCGAAAACTTTGTCGTTACTTATGAATACCCTTTAACCATATTTGTCAAAGTGACAACTTACTTGGCATCGGCGTGCAGTTTGGGTTGAATGTTATCAATCTCCAATATGAACTATAAACTATACAATGCCCGGAATTACGATCAATGGCGAAGGCCGACATCTCGTGCAGAATTTGTTAGAGTATTTCCAGCAACAGAATGAAAACAGCGGTTCCCTGTTACCCACTTCATGCGTATTGGAGAGAGTATCAGATGCACTGAAGATTAAGATCCGCCCATGGTACGGAGACGCGATCTGTTTACTTATTCCATATGGCGTTAATAACGTATCTGCCAAGAACGGTGACTTAAATGTGGGCTTACCGGAATACAGGGCGTTGAAGTTATAATTTTGGAGTATATTATGATTTTGACTAAATATTTTGTACATGAACTACTGACATCATAGCCAATGCATACAACATTTTTATGCCAAAGACAGCACCAGTAGCATAACCATTCGGAAATGTTGACCCCTACAGACGAAAATGAAAAATATTGTTTACACCACAATTTCGGAAGATATTTTACATTTTCGGATAAGCTATTCAATTTTACATCGCCTGTCTTAAGACATTTTTGTCCATTCACTTGTACTTTGGAAATACTCTGAGGTTAGTGAACCTTTGTATGTATCAAGAGAGTAAGTATAACTCACCAAAGCATTATTTGGACAATGTTTATGTTTTGTCCTTGTTCAGTCTCTCAGTGGTATAGGAATTTAGACGCGGTATCTAGCTAAAGAAGCATTGTTGTCCCTATATATAGGAACCTTTTTGTTGTTTTACTTTGATGGACTTTCTACCATAGAAATACTTCCGCGTTTTTCTCGAATACACTTTATTACGCAGAATCTAGTTTCCTTTCATACTTTAGGTTACACCATCAACTTGGAAAAACTGTTCCATTGACATAGGATAATCGGTTTGCGCCTGTTCACTATCATCGTAACTCAGTATCAAATATTTTCGAGTATATAGGCAATGTAAGGTCTAATTGTAAGTGGTAAAATTTATTTTGTAATACAAAATGGTCATAAAAATTCAAACAAAAAAATGTATTTAGAATAAGCGTTATTCCAGTCTTCTGTTCTTGAAAAATATCAATTTATTGACACTAATCCTGGATATCGACACCATACTTGTGTTTAATGATCATATGGCTCACAAGAGGAGTTTTTTGCTTAGATTTGTATGGACAATAGGGGCATCTAAATTGTGGTTCTTTCTGACATTCGAATTTCCTATGTCTCCACAAGGAACAGTATTGTCTATAGGCTTTACCACATGTTAAGCAGCTGTACTTCAAATCTGGCTTTAAACCTGCAACAATTTTTGTTAGAACAAGTATGGTCTTAAAATAATAAAATAATATTATGTCATTCTCATCTTACCTGTTAAAATACATCATTTCACCGGTTAGAATTATAATTCGTTTTCGATATCATTTTCGGTAACTTTAGGAATCCTTATTTTTAAACACTGCAGAGGTAGTTTGGAATGATGAGGTTATTAAAGGAGTTTCAGGCATCTCTTTGTCTGAAGCAAAACCAGTATTAACTCTTTGAAACATATAATAATTCAGTACAAGTGAATATATTACATAAAAACGCAAAAAATGCGGTACAAAAATGTAAATATCGAACATAACAAATTATAATCTATATTATATTCATGTCACATCCCATCTGAAGAGGAAGGCAAAGGTTCAGTCCTACGATATAAACTATATTTGGTACAAAAATCTATACACTTTTTAGAATCACAATGCCATAACACAAGGATACTAACAAATATAAATTTGCTTCCTGAAACATATCCTTCAATATTACATATAGGGGAAAGTTGCCGAAATCGTAGCGTTGCCTAAATCATACCAATGCGATACTTCAAATAAGGCGGTAAAATGTAGTATAACGATTAACCGTAGATGTCGTCCCCATCAAATGTCAGTTCAGGGGTAGAGTTGTTTTCGATGGATTGTGTTCTCCTTAGTCCCAAAATTAAGTGAAAGTTTTACGGGCATTTTGATGTTAATTTTGTTGAGATTACGTAAGGTTGTAGCTTGTCGGTAAGTACTATTTATACAGAATATTTTCTCTAGTTCTATAGCTTAGGAAGTTCTCTTTCATGTACAAAATTTAAATTTCAAATTAGGTGTGGTAAGTAAGGTTAGAGTCTCGTTTATTTCTCTTTATTGAAAGTTGCCCAAATCGTACCACGTTGGGTTTCCCAAATCGTACCGGTACGATTTGGGGAACCCATTTCGTTATAATGACTAACGTTTAAATCCACCTACCTATTCGTTTGTTTTACACAAAAAAATGGTATGTATTGTTTTTATACACGGAGAAAAAAGCCTATCCAAATCTACCAAATCCCTTTAATAATAAGAAGAAAATTGCTGGTAAGAAATGGTATTACGAGTATAATTTTATGTCCAGGCACCCGGAGCTTAGGTTACGTCAACCAGAGAACATTTCGATTGCGCTCTCTAAAGGAAGACCAATGTGCATGAATGTTTCGATGTGTTGGTAAAGATTGTTGACGAAAATGGAATAGACGCTTTTCACATTTACAACTTCGACGAATCAGGTTTTTCGACGGTACAAAAGAAAATCACCAAAAGTTTTAGCTCTTAAAGGAAAACATCAAGTTGGTTTATTGCCAGTGGTGAGCAAGTCATTAATACAACGTTGGTATGTTGTTGCAATGCCGCAGGCACCTATGCTCCTCCCATCTTCATATTCAAAAGACAACGTATGTACGCAGCACTCAAAAATGGAACCTTTCCTGGTAGTATTGTGCAGTCCAGTGAAAGCGGTTACATGAACTCAGAATTATTTTTTGAATGGTTGCAAAATTTCATTAAATTTGTGAAACCAAGTAAACATGAAAAATGCATAATTTTGCTCGATGGACACACTACCCATTCTAAAAACTTAGAGGCCATAATATTAGCTAGAGAAAATGTCATAATATTACTGCAACTTCCGGGGCATACGACCCATAGGTTGCAGAGTTTTTAAGTCCGTGGAGTCAAGCTACATGCAGGTCATGTCAAACTGGCTTCGAACAAATGTTGGTCAAAAGGTAACACAGTTTGAAGTAGCTGCTTTGTTAACAGAAGCTTACACAAACTCTGCAACAACAAGCAAAGCCGTAAATGGATTCGAAGGTGTGGCCTGTAAACCGAAACGTTTTTTTTGACACAGATTTTGTGGCAAGTGAAAACATAGTGATCCCAGACACTGTTGAACCCGAGACGGAAAATACTCCTAGCGAAGTTACAGATGTGGCAAATGAAAACCAAGCCAATCTTGTCCAGGAAGATCCGATCCAATCAACAAGTAGACTAACACAAGAAGAAAAAATGAGACCACATAAAGATAGTAGGACTGTTTTAATTGGAAAAGCAAGTCCACTACCAAAACTAAAAATTGTCAAAAAATTGGGTGAAAGGGCCAAAAGGGCTGCACAAAAAGTGGCAATACTAACAGAAAGCCCTTATAAAAATAAGCTCGAGGAAAAATATGCGTTAAAGGCACGAAAAGATGAAATGAAGAAGGCTAAAGAGACTGCCAAAAAAGATATTTTTTCAAACCGAAAAGTCAATACTAAAAAGACTAAGCATTCTAATAAAGAAGATAAAATTATAATCGAGACTAATGCAGATGACTGGTTTTGCACAATATGCCAAGATAGTTGAAGATATGATAAAGTGTGCATGGGCACATGAAATGTGTTCTGACTTATCACGACTTAAGGGCGACTTCTGTGTTTAAACTTATTTTCATAATTTAAAATGTTCCTTTTATCTAAATTACTTAATAAAACTACTGATTTTGTATATATATTCAGTTTGTTTTTGTTTCTGTGCCAACAAATGCCTGTACTACTTACCTAATAAATATTAAAACCTAAGAGCTTGATGGTACGATTTAGGAACCCGGTAGTACGATTTAAGTAACTCGTTGCCTGAATCGTACCTCTTGTAACCTCTTACAAAAACTCTAATTTTATTAAGAGTTGAATAGAATAATAAACTTTAAAAATTGTTTTCATGTGTACAAAAGTCCAATCTATCGTTCTGAATAAAAAAAATCAACTAGAACTAACAGTTCTTAAGAGAAAAAATAAAAACCAAAAAGTGGTACGATATAGGCAAGCTTGCCTGAACACTAGAGAGCTTTAGGTGCATATCTTTTTTGATTCTTCATGTTCAATCTCTTATAAAACTGATGGACGTAACCTAGTTCAGGTAATTCACCCAACGTAACTCGAAAAATCGTTCCATGAGCCACTATTTAGAGATTATCTTGTAACATATACCTGAAAATGCTAAATTGCTTTTTTGTTTAGATATACATCCATGTAAACTATACTCCTTGTACCTGAGTCTTATGGTGTGTGTTTCGATGTCTCAAACTTCAAACAATAGTTAGCTGCAACCGTTTCAGTAGAATTGATGAATTTGTCTTTGTGCCTGTTGAGTATATGTAGATTCAGGTTGACCTTCTGCTTGGCTTTGTAATTGCAGAAAAAACAACGGAAAGCAGGTTCTTTTTGACACTCGTACTTTTTGTGTCTCCATAGTGACGGGTAGTGTTTGTAAGGTTTTCCGCAGGTGGTGCAATCATATACTAAAAACACAAAAAATTCAGTAAAGAACATGGGTGGTTTTAGACGTGGGCGTGTGGGATAAGTAAGGGATAACAATGAAAACGATTATCCAAGTTTGCAAATTTCGAAGTAATCAAGATATAGTAATGTCTAGTATAATTTAAATTAAATCATACTGAATATGTTATATACTGGTAGTTTCAATCGTATGTCAACAATGATTTTCTCAATTAAAATAAGGATAATGGCTTCATGCTATCTTGGATATCCTGCAAAATGATTAGTATGTACTGAAATCTATCATGCCTTTTGTTATTTAGCACTAGCATATCAAAAATGTATGGTATTTGCACCATGTTATAAACCTGCCAATACAAATTAGCAATATTAACCAACTATATTCTAGCAACAAATTCGATTCTCACCATTTACTGGGATCTCGGAAAGATGATTCGGAAAATGGTTCACAAAAAATGATAACATTTGTGGAAATAGGCGGAAGAAACACAATTTTCCTAAAACCGTTTTTATTTTTCCATCACTTTATATGAGGCGGGATTTCAAAATAAATTCCACATTAACATTGCCACTTTTACTTCTCTACAGGGTGACATAAATAGAACTTCAACAAAAATGGACAATGTATTACAGATTGATATTGCAAAAGTTCGGCTAAAAACTAGACTAAAATCTCCATAGCTGGCTTGATAATTACAGCTTATAACCTACTTATTCGATTACGCCAATGCTCCCTTATCGACTCTAAGAAGTATTATTTTTAGCATGATGAAGCCAACCTACATGTCACTTCAGATTATTTAAGTGCAAGGTGTATTGTATGCATCGGCTTAGATATGACGGATGCGAAATGTGTATGAACAACCTGCAGCAACATCGTCTTCACTCGCTTTTAAATGTTCCTACCACTTTCTAAAAATATTTTCATTATAAATATTCAAATATGGAAAAAAAGGAATAAAAAGTTAGTGCCATGTTCATGAGTTAAGACGAACTACATAACGATCAATTTTTATACATTTTACGTTTTATAATACTAATCTTATCATGTTATGTACATCATTAAAATCGGAAGGTTTAAAAAAACTGTAGGATCACTGAACTTCAAATGCTACTTAAGAAATACTGTTTTTCAGTCATTACAATATTACAAGGTTAATGTTGAATCCAAGATTAAACATTCTATTGACCTATGGAAAATTCCAATGTCACAAAAAAAACTAAATATGATGATGGAGGACAAAAAACGAAACATTTCATTGAAATTCTAGTTATGCCACCATGTAGATAAAAAAGTGGTAATATTTATGTTGGATATATTTTGATACTTCATCTCAAATTAAGCCGGGAGAATACATATAATTTTGGGACAACTGGTTTTTTCAGTCTCCGGTTCCTGGTTCCCAATGGTGAAGTTCGATATAATAGGATGAGTTAAATCCAAAGAGATAATTGAGCTCATTGAAATGTGGCCTTTGGACACCTTACTAGAATTTGCGTGTTCCAAATTACCTGAGTGTACCAAGTTCCATTCGTTTGAAATAACCTAGCACAAAAATGGAAAGTTTCCCCTACGACATATTATTCAGAGGTCTCCTAAGAGAAAAATTTCAAAAAGATTGCATATGCCTGGTTTGGGTGAGTATTCCTTTCCTATGTATTAGATTCAGGATTCGATGCGAATTTGATGCTATGCACCTCGAGTTGTCCTAAGTAGGAATTAAGAGTTTAATCACCAGGTTTCCTTAAGAAACGTTTTCCATAACCCGTTTATTTAACTAAACGATTTCTTAAAAAAACGAAACGTTTAAGCTGTTTTGTGAAAAAACGTTTAAAGCGATTAAACCCTTAGAATGATTTAAAGCTTTAAATTGGTGGAAATTCCAACAGAATGTTGATTCTATTCAAAAAGTACAGCCCACCATTGATCAACTGTTATCTCCAACAGCTTCTTCAGCAGCTGTCCAAAGTGCGTTTTCTAATTTGGTATGGTACATTCGAAACTTAAATCCCTTGGAACCGAAAAAAACCTCAATTAGTTTTCACAATTGTCTTCCCAAACACATATTTTGTGTTTATATTTTTTGTAGGTTTTAGCCTGAGTTCTAGCCTTTCAAAAAATGTATGGTCTTTGCGTCTGATGGCATTCCGATCAAAGTTATCAACTGTATCCAACAGCTTCGTGTAATGCAGCATTTTGTGTGACAATTTTTGTTATATTCTTTAACAATGTTGAACATTGTCTTAGGCTAGAAGCCTGTTTTGTTCGTCACACATATAATATAATGAATTTCCATTTCAGGATACTCTAAAATTTCGCTCTTATAAACGCTAAGGACAATTTCTTTTGCCTGAATATTCAAATGCCCTTTCTTGTCATATTTTCGGGGAGGAGACATCACTGAAGAGGAAGCATGGCTAAAGGAAGCATTGGGAGAAATATGCTCAGGATTTCATCTGCTGCATCCATAGACGTCATGCAAACGTATACAGCCATGCTATATAGGCTCCGAATATGAACAGCAACTGCCGTCGTCGGCGTGCCGGCGATACCCGGAGCAGGAGTTCTATCCTGTCGAATCCTGCACTTGGTCGTAGTTTTATGTTTTATTATATAGTCAATGGACTACGAATAGAGTACAGTTATGTCTTTGAACATTCATAATGTATGTAAAATCTTGGTTTTAAATAAATCACCTTCTTTTTTTTTAATTCCCCGACGAGTTATTTCAGTTATTTGCTTCGGTGAAATCATTGCAACCCTGTAAGTGGGAGAAAAGGAGAAAACGAAAAGTTGAAAATCCTTGTACATACTTTGGTGAGGGACTATATTACTTTGTATAGTACAAGTGGAATCAAGCTATATCAAAGAAGGTGTCTATTCAAATCTCATTTACTCCGCGTTAAAATAAAAATGCGCACTCGACTGCCGTTTGTTGCTGCCTGCTCAGGGTTTTATGATCCGTTGAAACCAGGAGCGGGCAGGTGTTTGTTTTGAAGGGGCGTACATGAGATTTAAATACACTTTAGCTATTTCACTGACAGTCTAAGAATTCTCCATGTGTTGTCACCATGTGTGTTTTCAAGTTGAACTTCATATGTGTCCTATGGTAACATCCTTTAACAGGACAAGCAAATTTACGCTCTTGTCCACACTGGTATTTTTTATGTTGCTGCAGACCTCTTCTGTAGGTATATCGTCTCGAACATACATCACATTCGTAGAAAGGTCCTGAAAGTAGTTTAGGATGATCTAGATTGTAACGATACATATTGGTATATCATCAACTTGAGAAATATATACAGAAGAGGCGCAGATTCACACATATCTGTAACGATGCGTTTCTTCGCTCATAACTCCATTTTCGGAAATAATGTAGCACTATCTACTTTGAAGCTGTATCAGTAGTAGTGAAGTAGTGGTGGGAAGGCGAAGCCTGGCGACTAAGCGACCTTTGACCCTTTTTGCAGACCCCGTGCCATCAACACTTCTCCACAATCCATTTACTAACTGATCATTGATTAAACCAGCTCCAATGATGTGATGTACCTATGCTGATCTTGCACCGATCTGGTGTTTGATATACACATCACACAACATAATATCCATGCTTCGAAACTAACTTCCGAGGCGGAGATTTGAACCTGCAAGCCTTTGGGTCGTTCGATTAGTAGCTCGTGATGCTCGACCATCCAATCCCCGTGACTCTGTATCATATCACTATTCAAGTAACATAAAATCGTTGCAGGCATTACTGAGAGAATGCAAATCGATCGGCAGGGCGAATGAAAAAGATTTAAACACTGAGTTTCATGATCATGATCAACAACCAATATATAATATGATCCCATATCCGAATAGTTACTAGATAGCGATATAGCAGGTGTAACAAAAGTATCGGTACGGCTCTGTATATTTCCAGATAAGGTATTTTTGAAAAAGATCAGGGTCAGGTCTTTATTAGCTTTAAGCAAAATTATTTCAAAATGTTTTTTAATGCAAAGCCCCCTCTTTGGCACATGCAGTCGAAAGAACAAGAAAGGTACTCCCGAGCATGTATTGAAATCTTAAATCAAGATAACCTCTAAAGATCAGATGTGTGAGGGTTAGATCCAGACCCTTAGTAACCTTCAACAAGAATTTCAATACTGAAATTGCGCCTCACTTTGCTGGTGCCAAAATAAAGTTCCTGGCTGAAAGAAGTTGGCTTTGAAGGTGATTTTCAAGGTTGAATCAAGGGTCGCTATTACAGCCCTTATTAAAAGTTACTAAATGTCTGAAATTTTTACATCAATAATCTAGCTAGATATATAGTAATTTCACCTAGTCTCACTCATTTGACGTTCTTAGGAGCTCTGAGGTTGAGCTCAATCTTAGATTTGAATACATATTCGGACATAAAATTTCCCGTTCTTTCAACTGCCGGTGACAAATACGGCTTTAGACTTAAAAAATAGACCTACAAATGACCTTACGGGTGAGACTCTAGGTTTAATTCAAAGACGCCTTTGAACTCCTTGACTTAACCTTGACCTTTATTAAGAATGCCTTACATGGAAAAATACATAGCTATTCCGTATTTACATCTTCACCCATTATTGACGTGGGAAATCAAACATCAGAATGTAACGAAAGTTATTTATTTTAATCTGCCCGTGTATGGTGAATACATAATATATGTCTGTTAAGTGTAGACTTGAATTTGGTTTTAAACGAACATCCGGCCATTGGGCAACAAAACCTTGGTTCCTTCCCACAAATATACCTTTTGTGTTCTTTTAATCCATGCTGGTACTTATAGGATCTTCCGCAAGCATCGCACACGAAGTGACGATCTAAAAATATAGCGTATCTTTAATCAATCGATTTCGCCAAATAAGTTGATTGCTCTTTCAGGTATCAAATCGTAATACAGAATTGCATTGGATGCGTTTATTGATAATAATTATCATTTTTAGTTTCAAAAGCGAATGTAATGTTAAATCTATGCGCGAAATGTCT